TGATCGAGTTTACAATTATGAAGAGCATCAAGCCAAAACATACTTGCGCCGGTCATTGACATCTGTTGTTCAATAGCAGCGTCTACATAATTTAACAAAAGAATGTATAAGGCAAAATATAACAACTAATTATATTTACAATCGAGATAACGTAGATTAGTGTTGTCATCATATAATAATATACCTGTTGTATATGCTTGATTGAGATCATGATGAAATATTTTCATTGATGGAAAATCAAATAAAGCATGATGAAAGTTAAAGATAAGTAGATCTTTGTCAGAAAGTAGATCATTTGAAGAGATTTGTTTGTAATAAATAATATGACATCGAAAGACAAGACCCTGAGAAAGATTAAAAACTTGAGGATTACGTTTTTCGTCGTGTAAAATCTCATTAAGTTGTTCTTCTGTTTCATAAGCGGTTTCGATGATTGAAAACATACTATTATTACGATTATTTTTATCTTCATGAGTAATAACTTGTTGCATAAGTTGATTCTTTTCGATGTCAAAATGAAGTGATGTATGAAGTGAGGAATGTTTGCTAAGAGTAAGATGAAGAGCATGACAAAGTTGTTTAATGGATAAAGTATGACCTGATTGCAGACGATAGACAAAAGGCATATTATAGATTGCTACTTGAGGCTTGTCTGGATCGAATCGAATTCTTTCGTCGAGCCAAATACGAGCTTGTGCAAATGATGCTGGTACTAGAATAATGAGAGTATAGTTAATTATAATTTAAAAGCTGGATGGTGAAACCATCTTTCATAGCAATATTCTGACTATTTCTATCGAATCGCTTTCCCAACAGACTAGACCCCAGTTGTACGGGCGTCGGCTCACTATTTTGTGTTAGTAGTAATAAAAATAGTTTAATACCTCAGGATGAAAAGCCCAACATCGTATGACATCGTATGACATCGTATCTTCCTTCAAAAATCGAGAAATATTATTAGTCTTGATAAAATCTGATAAAACGATTCTGATATGGAACTCTTTTATGCGCATCCATAGTACTATGTAATAGTTCTATGTTAATGTTTATGTAAAAAACACGGCTGTTTGGTACTCTTATCAAATCTGCATTAACATAATGCAAGTACTGACGGTGTTTAAAAAAAAGTAAGATTGTGAACCGTTAGGAATTCATCTTTCAGAAAATCGCTGTAGCTACTACATAAAAAATTATTTTGAAATAAGTTTATGCGATTCTAGTTTTTCGACATATGTCATTAGATCACTAAAAGTATTAGTTACTAATCTGGAACTAAAATCTCTGCAGCTGTATTAGAAAATAATTTGAATAAAATACTCATATGAAATAAGGTGTATAACCAATAGAAATATGCATAATAAAAGCTTCAACTATAATACGCAAATGCAGCATCCTTTATGATATCATACAATGATTCTGTAGACATCTGAATAATTCCTAAGAGTTATATACTGCCAATGTTTGACAATTTTTACAATCCACACACGCACACCTAATCAGTGAAAATAGTAAAAATATTCTTGTACTATCGTTATATATAATGTCGGAAGAAAACAGAATCAAACAGAAATGTTTGATGCTAGAGAACCATGTGATGTAGGTGTTTTATGATTATACAACACGACTATGACTTGGAAAAATCCCTTCCTTGTGATTGTAAATCTGATTGCATGAATTTTTATTTTTTCCCTTCGATCTCAGTTTCGGCATCCAAAAACTTCGACAATTTATTACCGGTAACCAGTAATCTATCACCTACTTAGTACTTGGTTTACTTACAAGTCAAAGAGGACTAATCTCGGCAATAACAAACTCTGGATTTTACCGGCTCTGTTCAGCGGTCTGAGTAATTTAAGTGTGATTTGCTTTCTGGCATGAAATCTACAAGAGTATCTTATTTTTGAGACAGTGCCAATTTATAAATAAATAGATTTATGAAAGATTTTACTACCACAGTTGTTCTATTTCTTAAAACGAAATAAACAATTTTTAAGCAACGGCAAGTTTTATTTTTTGTTGATTAATACGAAGAATAAAAGACTATACATCTATTCCGACTAAATATTTACTAAGGATCTTTACAAATTTAACTTCAATATCTCTTGCGAAAAATTTCTCGGTAAGTCCGACTTCAACTCACTTTCAGCATCTTCAGCGATCTCTTCTAAAAAATTATAAAATGGGAGCCCCTAAAAAGACAACCTAAGTCACTGACGATCATAAATCGTCTGAATCCCTATTTTCTCATTATTTATTCCTTTGGAATTTATTTAAAGACTGAACATATTATGTCTCTACATTACAATGCACTTTTATGCATATTCCTCATTACTGCTTTAACTGACTACTGCTTTTATAAAACAATAATACAAGCTGCATACAATCATACCTTCATTCACAATATTTTCCAATCGATGAAACACCGCTAATTCCATTTCTTCATCTTCCTCAGGAAGAATAAGAGACAGTTTGTTAATTGATGAACTCACATTCATCACAGTAGTGTTGCTTGGTTGTGTTTGAAATAGTTGCTCAAACATATATTCAAATCTTTGAGCTATTTTTGAAATAGTTGATTTTTCAAACAAATCACTTGAACAAATAAAACTACATGATAATCTCTTGTTATCTGATAACGGATTGTATTCAAACGTTAATGAAAAGTCAAATTTAGACACTTCAGTTGATTGCTCCAATGATATTTTTTCTAAATTTACATCATTCAAACATAAATGTTTGACATCTTTTGACACACTAATAAAATCAAACATTGTTTCAAGAAATGATACATTCGACTGATTTAATCGATTATCACCAAGAATATGTTGAAGTGGGTAATGAGAATGTGTAAGAATTGATAAACATTTTTCTTGGACATATTTTACTACCTCATCAAATGACCAACTAGGATCAAGTTGCATGCGATATGGTAATGTTGAAACAAACATTCCGATCATATTCACTAATTCACTTCGATATCGATTAGCATTGATAGAACCAATGCATAGATCAGTCTCACCATGAGATAATTTGAATAGGAAGACATAAAA